CGAGGAGACCCTCGTAAAGAATCGAGAGAAAGGGAAGTAGCGCACGGTTGCGGAGTCTGAACAATATATAAGACCGTTAGTGCTATATCTTTTTAGAAAATCACTAGTGCCGTGACTTTTCATCACCGTCGCATGTTAGAATCCGGCAACTAAGGCATCAGCTGCATGTAAGGCCAACGGATCGAACCCATTTTCAAGCAGCTTCGTCAAGACCCAAAAAAATAGTGAACGGTCGCATTTTCAAGCAACTTTTCATTACCGTCGCATGTTAGAATCCCACAACTAATGCATCAGCTGAATGTAAGGTCAACGGATCGAACCCATCTTCAAGCAGCATGGTCAAGACCAACAAAAATAGCACACGGTCATGGGTTCATTGTTTTTGTGTTTTATGTTCCAATCCCTGCAAATGATGGTTACTGGTGAGAGCTTCGCTGGAGTTGATGTCACACTTACCCATCGTTCGTAAAACATTCCAGTTTATCTTCACATGGTGGTCTTACTTCATATCCTCAGTTTCTGTCCGCTTCGGTAAGTCGTAGTAAAGGGGGTAACATCTGACGAATGGCAATGGTCGAAGGTAATAGCCGATGGCATGGGTCTTGCGGTGAATATAGGAGATTGATTGTTAAGTATATACGTTCAATATTTTGGTCTTCTGGTGTGATAAGCTCTGGATGTTGATGTGCTTGTATCGCTAATAAATCGTTGTCAACAATGGAAATATTTTCTATTAACTAATAATTCCAAGTGATTATTTTTTAAGAAAATATTTTCTAAATTATTTATTTTTCGCGAAACAAACGAATCATCAATGAACATTGAGTTTAATTAATTAATGGATTTGTGCTTAGCCTGGTTTGACGAATATGAGTCTAGTCTTCTGGTTCTAGACTTAGCTCCGCTCGGTTGTCATTCGGCTTGCTCATAATTAAGCCCTAAATGTGTCCATGGTTTCCAATCACTTTTAGCATGTTTAGGTTTCGTTTCTATAATTAAATTGTGGACTGTGTTCGATGAATACTTGCTGGTCATTCATCATGGAATGTGATTTGAATTAATCTCAAGGTCATTTGATGATCATTCTGATTGCTATTGATGGCATGTTACTATGTGGTTAGTTTTCTGTTTTTCTTTTCCCGAGGCAACGAGCGATGTTTAAAAAGGTTGTGAAAACTCTCGCCTTCCCATCATTTTCCATGATAATGGGAATGCAACAACGACAACTAACAAGCGAAGACTATGAAAAGGTACGTTCTGACTCGGTCAGTCCTCTTTTCGGAATTGAGGCCCACCCCCCAAATGAAATCCAGTCTTTGACAGGGAAGTCCTTGAGGAAAGTGAAGTAAAGTCAAGGTCTTTCTTGTTGTGTGCGAACACTCTTAACTTTCCACACGATCAAATCCTAATCCGTGCCACACATTTTGCAACTCAAAGCGCAAAAGGGCAGTCGTCTCACTCGGCATTCAGGAAAGCCAAATCTTGACGTGGTTGACCCGTTCTTGCAGAAACGACAGCTGATGATCACGTTCGAGCAAAGGGAGAGGTGTCGAAATGGATTAACGATCTACTCTTTAATTGGCCGAGTTGGGTTAGCTAAACTCTAAAAAAATGAGCTGGGCCCGCTTGTTTTAGCCGTTTTGACAAACCATAACGTGATTGTGGAGGTCTGCTCTTTAATTCCGTTCTAACTTACAATTTAAAAAGAGTGCGCAGTGATTATTTGTGGGAATTTTGAAGTGCTCTCGGTGGTTCCAATAGAGATTATCCCGCACGTTATTCCGGGATAATGATATTGTTGTTGGATTACGAAGTGTAAACTTTTGATTATGTCAAAGTTTAATGACCACCATTGAAATCTACACATAATAAGAACTCATTTTCCTTTTTTTGCTAGAAAGAACTTATTTTCCTTAAGTCTTAAAACTTATCACCAAAGTACAATTGAGTCATAAAACTTGTAAAAAGTGCAATGAAGTTTCAAAACTTGTTAAATTGATTCGATCGAATCCTAAAGTTAACACTGTCAAACTTATTAACGAAAAATGCTGACGTGGCGTTGATGTGGCTTAGTTTAATATTTTCTCTCTTCTACATGGCGATGACGTCGCCAAAGTATGAAACATAAGACTAAAACAATATTGTTTTGGTCCAAATTTGATTTTCAATACTAATTTTATTTAAATAAAATTATAAAAATAAGCTTTAAAAAAAGGGAGGACGATAGGCTAGAAGGGCTGCAAGTCCTCAACGCCGCTGCCGCCACCGCAATTTTAACTTTTTTTTAAAATTTAATTTAAATAAAATTAGTATTAAACTAATTATAAAAAAAGTCCTGTCATTGCTACGTAGGATAGAAAAAATAATAAAAAAGTCATGTCAGCATTTTTCGTTAGTCCAATTAGATGGTATTAACTTTAGGACACGATTGAACCAATTTAACAAGTTTTAGAACTTAATTGCACTTTTTGTAAGTTTTATGACTCAATTGCACTTTCGTGATAAATTTTAGGACTTCTAGTAAAGATATACCTTTCCTTTATTTATAAGCTTTGCGTTTGTTTAACTTTAGTTTATTGCATTTATCATTTTTGGTGATAAATTAAATAGTAGGTAGCATTGCATTGCTTTGATTACAGAATCTAACGATTGCAAAAAAGAGCAATCAACGTCAATTTTTTTTTCTTCAGAAAAAGGGCACTAGTTAGAGAATTAGTGCAATTACGTCTGATCTCAAATATGTGGTTGCGTAAAAGTTAAGTGCCTCACATACTTCACTTGGCTCTTAGCCAGCCACAAGGCTAGTGGCTAGCTAGGAGCGACTTTTAGTTAGGTTAGACTTCATAAATAAATCTATTTTAACTTTAATTTTCCAATGTTGACGCGCCAATTGAGGATTGCTAGTTTTCAACTCAACATTACCTCTAAACCCATCTACTCGTCTTCGCTCCGCTGGGAGAGTTGCAACAAGTGCACCAATGTTATATTTACCTTAAACTAATTTTCGTGTTACAAAAAGTTTCAAATTGATATACCCACATTTATCTTAAATTAATTTTGAGATATGTTCACTAGAAGTCATAAAACTTGTCGCGAAAATGCAATTGAGTTCTAAAACTTGTCAAATTGGTTCAATCAAGTCCTAAAGTTAACATCGTCAATTTGTCTAACGGAAAATGCTGACGTAGCATTTTAAAATGAATTTCTCTCTCCTATGTGGCATTTATTATTATTATTTTATTCGAATCTTACATAAATTGAATTAAAAAACTAAAAATTACTTAAAAAAACAAAACTGAAAAAAAAAACTAGGGCTAAGTTGGGAGTTGTAGCCGCCGCCCACCGCTGGAGGGGGGCCGGCTAAGGTCGTTGGCCCCCGGCGAGGGTGGCCGACCCTCACCCGGGGCTAGCAAGGGTCGCCTGTCCTCGCCCGAGGCTGGCAAGGCTCGCCGGCCTCAAGCAAAGGCCAGGTGTTGCCTAGATCTAGGCAGGCGATGGTCGTCGGCCCCAGGCGAGGGCTGGCGTCGCCCAGATCTAAGCGCCCTCACTCGGGCCTAGTGAGGGTGGTTGGCTGTTGCCCCGGGCTAGTAGGGCCAAATGAGGGCCGGCCACCCTCGATCGGGGCCGGTGACCTCCGCCGTCCGGTCCGGCGAAGCTGCTTCTCTCTTCTTCTTTTTTCTAGTTTTGTTTTGTTTTGTTTTTTAAATTTTTAGTTTTTTAATTTAATTTAAATAAGATTTGAATAAAAAATATATATATGCCATGTAGGAGAGAGAAATTTATTTTAAAATGCCACGTCAGCATTTTTCATTAGACAAATTGACGGTGTTAACTTTAGGACTTGATTGAACCAATTTGACAAGTTTTAGGACTCGATTGCACTTTTTGTAAGTTTTAGGACTCAATTGCACTTTCGCGATAAATTTTAGAACTTCTAGTGAACATATCCCATTAATTTTTGTGTTACCAAAAATGCTAAACTGGTATACTAGTAACACAAAACTAATTTGTATCACAAAAAAAATCCCAAATCAATAAAAAAAATTTATTGGGAAATTTGCTAAAATCTACTAATTTTGCCTCGAGAGCTCCCTCAAGTTTCGAAAATTTGCTGAAAGTCATATTTTTTTATGACTCAAAAATTAGTTTCTAGTAAATGTGACATGAGCATACTAGTTTGACATTTTTTTTATGATATGAAAATTAATTTGAGATAAATGTGGCAAGAGCGTAACAATTTGGTATTTTTTGTGCCACAAAAATTAGTTTAGTTAAATGTGGCATGGGCATACCAATTTTGATATTTTTTGTGATAGTAACCGTAAAATTTAGACAATGTTACTTACTAATTATCTATGAAACTTGATAAATTCATTATCATGTTGGTAACTTTTTGATAAGTTAACTTATAAGCAAGTTACCGGTTATATTTTTTGCAAAAAGTATTTAAAAATTACCAGCAACTTCAAAAAACCCGCGAACATGAAAAAATTTCAGTTTTTAAGGCCTAGGGGATCCTAGAATTTTGCAACAAGATTACTTTGAATCTAAACTTCGAAGATGCTTTGAGGTTTGAACCTTAAGTACCCCTGTTTACTATTGCAGACAAGTATGATAGGTGCAAGATTGCAAATCAACGATCTAATACCGAGCTGCAACTTCAACAGAAATGTGAAGTGGGACAATGACAAATTTAGAAATCATTAAAGACATATTTCAATGACACATTCAATCATGTAATCACGGGCAAAATGGGCTTCGACAGCTCTTCATCTTTTTTTCTTTCCCATGAAGAAATAAGAATGGCGTACACTAAAGAAGAAAAGGAGACATAGGGTGTTAATGATGCAAAGCGAGTTTTTTGGAAGATCTCTTTCATGTTCATCTATTCATTCGACTCAATTTAGCAATCGCACTTAAAGAAGAAAATGACAGCATGATAAAAAAGAGCATCCATATGCGAAATTGCAATGCAATCTAACAAAAATTGTATTCCTTGATCTACATTGCACATAGTTCGAAGGGACCACTTCCCAACAATTTCATTGGCCTCCATGAAATTTGATGGCCTTCTGCTTTGGCTTCTTCATCAATTTGGCTCTTCTCTCCATGCTTCTCACTTTTCCCACAAGCCATTTGGGTCTTCCAGTTTCACATGAAATGTACGCTATGGAGATTTCAATCACGATTCCAGATGCATAGCCTATCCCGATTGCTTTCCTATCAAACCTGCTACCATGCTCTCTTGTAGTATCCTCTTGGAAGAATGAAGGTGGTGGCGATGGAGGCTGAGCATCACCAGGGCATGTATTTCGTAATGGAGTTCCACATAAGCCTAGGTTTCCATGAAATGAGTCGCTTGTGAATGTGCTCAGTTGCTTGTCTTGAGGTATGGGGCCCATGAGTTGGTTATCTGAGAGGTTCAAATACTCAAGGAATGACAAATCTACCAATTCTCTAGGAACACTCCCACTAAGCTTGTTTGAAGATAAATCAAGCCATTCAAGATTAGTCAAATTTCCAAGGGTTGAAGGAATGGAACCCGTGAGGTGATTGTGGGAAAGGTTGAGCCCTATGAGAGAATGAAGATTTCCAATAACACTCGGGATGTTCCCTTGAAAAGAGTTGAGCGATAAGTCGATGGTTGTGAAAATGGTCAAGATCCTCTCCAGCCGAATCTCCTTTCCTTTCATGATCACATTCACAGAAGCTTCATAGAATTCCTTTCCAGCTTGCTGCCTCATGTACAATGATTTGTCTTGTGGCTTTTGCCCATTTTGTCCATTCATCATCCCTTGAAGTTTCGCTATCAGATTGGCTGGTAAAGGACCAGCGAAGTCGTTGTTTGAGAGATCCAAAATGTGCAACTTCAAAAAGAGATGAGCTACCCTTGGAAAATCTAAAAGACCCTTAAAATTGTTGGACCTCATATTAAGAACCTTTAACTCTGGCAGGCTTCCCAGCCATTCTGGAAACTTATCCTCTATCTTATTATTGCTCAAATCTAGGACTTCCAGGTTTTTACAAGTGACCAGGGAATGTGGCAATGTGCCTTCGAATTGATTTTGACTCAAGTCAAGATTTCTCAAGCTACTCCGTGGTGAAAATGTTGGAGGGATTGTACCCGAAAGACTATTCATTCGCAAGTTCAAAACTGATAGACAAATGCTCAAGTATAATAAGCACTGGGGTAGGCTACCAGTTAAGCTATTATTATACAAGATGAGGAGTGAAAGGCTGGTGGCATTGCAAATCGATACAGAGATCTTCCCCGAAAGTTGATTCTCATTGAGGCGTAAATAGACTAGGTTTGTCAAATTATCGAAAGAAAAAGGAATTGGACCGGTGAACTGATTTGCACTAAGATGTAATAGGACCATAGCCTAAATATTTCCTAACTCATTAGGAATGCTACCAGAAAGCTAGTTGTAACTCAATAGCAGCACCTCCAAGTTCATTAGATCCCCTAAGGATCCAGGAATCAAACCAGAAAGGTGATTGAGATGGAGGTGCAAAAGAACTAGGTCAGTCAAATTACCCAAAGAAGAAGGAATTGGGCCAGCGAGCTGATTTCCACTCAGCTTTAAGTCCTGCATAGCGCGGAGATTTCCCATCTCATCAGGAATGTGACCCGAAAGCTGGTTATCATGGAGTAAAAGATGGGTAAGCTCCGTCAAATTGCCTAATGTCGGTGGGATTGAACCGGTAAGATTATTATTGTAAAGGATTAATGAGCTAAGAAGCTTCAAATTCCCTAGCTCTAGGGGGATGGAACCGTTAAGCTTATTAGCAAATAGGTGCAACTCTCGCAATTTGGTCAAGTTCCCTAGAGTGGAAGGAATTGGTCCTGTCAAGAAGTTAGCGTCCATGTGGAGCACTTCCAAATTTATCATATTTCCCATCTCAGGAGGTATAGGACCAGAAAGAGAGTTGTTGTAGACATACAATCTAGCTAACTTGATCAAATTACCCAATGAGGAAGGGATAGATCCATGCAACTGATTCAAATACAGCGTGACCTCATCGAGCAAATGCAGTTGCCCAATTTCTAGGGGAATGGAGCCATTTAACTCATTGAAATGCAGATGTAGGACCTCCAGTTTCGTTAGATGGCCGATCTCTGGTGGTATTATCCCCGAGAACCGATTGATAGAGAGGTCGAGATAGGTGAGATTGCTCAGAAAACCGATTTGAGGTGGAATGTGGCCGGAGAGACTGTTTACACTCAGGTCCATGTAAATGAGATGAGACTAAGATGAGAATGGAAATTCGTCAAGCGTACCTTCCACATCGGCACTGGTAAGATTTATCCAAATCACACTCCCGGCCTGATTGCAGGAGATGCCATACCAAGCACATGAACTCACAGTCAAATTGGAACTGGTGGCCTTACAAGGAGAGGGAGTCCACGAAGAGAGGGAAGAAACCGAACGGTTCCCAAGACTGGATTTCCACTTGAGGAGGGCTTGAGCTTCGGCAGGGGAAGCAGGAGCCGGCAGTGGAGCGACAGAGATAGTGAAAAGGGCAAGGGCAGCCACAAGGGTCATGACCCTCTTGAATCCTGATGAAGAATCCATGGATTCTTCTTCTTCTTCTCTTTTGGTTCTGGTAAGTTGGTTTTTCTTTTTCCAAGGCAGTGAGCGATGCTTAAAAGGGTTGTGAAAACTCACCTTCCTAAAAGCTGACTGGACGAATTGTTGGTTCCTTGAAGACTTAGGAAATTTTTTCCTTTTATAGTCTTCCTTGGTGACTTGCCTGACTCGGTCAGTCCCTATTTCGGAATTGAGTCCCGCTTATTATTTGAAATCCAGGGTGTTCGACAGAGAAGTCTTTGAGGAGAGTGATGTAAAGTCCCTTTTTCCACAGGATTGAATCCTAATTCGTGCCGCACATTGTGCAATTCTAAGCGCGCAAAAGGAAAGCCTTCTCACTTGGCATTCATGAAGCCAATTCGGTTAACCCCATTCTACGTTGGAAAAATATTAGATAATGTAAAATAAGGATTGTTGGAAATCTGTTGAAAAAGATGAGAAAATAAAATCAATTGTTTGAGGCATGCAAGCACTTGACTTAAGAATAATTTCGCTTCTCGGAGTACGAAACTCGGTGTGATAGGCTTTAGTGGCTATCCTCCCAAAATACATCAGACCTTATTCTTTATTTTGCATAAAATAATAGAAGGCCTAGCAACGATAGGAAAGATATGAGAAGAAAAAGAAATTCTCTTTTATTTCATGTCTCTCACTTTTGATTGTGGTTTTAAGTTTTAATTTTATATTCAAATAAAAGAGAGAACAAAACCGTTATAATTAAATTGGTAATTATTGAAGGAGAATATGGCCGTTATATAGCCATTATAATTTAAAAGAATGAAGAGTTTACAAAGAAATATATCAAACGTTAGAAAGCTGTTAGAAAGCTGTCATACACCATTACTAAATCATTATAAAACGTTACAGATTAATGGCGGAAGACAACGGTTACAAATTGATGATGGTGAAAACATGTTACAAAAATAATAGCTGCAATATTTCAAAACTATTAAAATATCCAACATTCTATGCAGAAGCGACAGCGGATGATCTAGCCAAATGGCTCCGGGAGCACGGTTAAAAAAAAAAATCCACGGACCTGATAAAATTGTTGATCGCGTTCAAATAAAGGGGGAGGCGTCAAATTGGATTAAAGACCCGCTCTTTAATAGCCGAGTTGGGTTAGCTAAAATCTAAACAATGGGTCGTCATGTGTCTTAAAATGAGAATGTCTAGTAAGATGATGGTCAATCGAAAAGGAAAACCAGAAATGGAACATAAGATTATTTTGGGCCCGCTTGTTTGAGCCATTAACAGACGATAGCGTAATTGTAGATGTCCGCTCTTTAATCCTGTGATTAATTACACTTGCGATCATGATTTACTTCAGATAATCTAGTCTTTGTTGAGCTCTCTATGTGGGCTCAATTATTGAGAAATAGTGCGCCAGGACTATATGTGGGAATTTTGAAGTGCTCTCCATAATTCCAAGAGACATTCCCGCACGTTACGCGGAATAACGATGTTGTTGGATTACATATTGGAAGTGTAAACTTTTGATTATATCAAAGTTTAATGACCACCATTGAAATCTATATGGTAAGAACTTATTTTCCTTTATTTATAAGCTTTGCGATCTTTTTTTACTTTACTTTATTGCGTTTATCATTTTTGTAATAAAGTAAATAGTAGGTAGCATTGCATTGCTTCAGTTGAAGAATCTTTTTTTTTTGGTCGGATTCAATTGAAGAATCTAAGGACCGCAAAAAGAGCGATCAACGTCAGATATTTTTAGTATGCTATTTTTCAAATTTAAAAGGGTAAATTGCTATAAATTGGTGCGCGGGTTGAATTAGGTATGACTTGGGCTCTGGAGGGGATTTGGTATGGGTTGCCAAAATTGTGTTACAAAAATATGGGCCAATATGAGTTAAATGGATCAATTTGAGTCGGATCCAAATCACTTCTCAAAGGGTAGAGGGAACCATAATCAATTATTATATTACAATAAATAAGGAAGTTATTATAAAAGTTTTAAACCTATTGTAATTATGTTAATTCAATCCTAAACATTTTATTAATATTTTTTTCTTTTCTTCCTTCTTTTCATTTTCATTTTCTTTTTTCCCACAGTGGCTGGCAAGGCTCGTCATGAATCCCTTGCCGGTCGCCTGTGAGGCCCTCTCCCGGCCTCGCCCAGATCCGAGCAAGGCTAGCTACAGGCGAAGGCGGCCTTGCTTATGGCTAGCGAGGCCATGGTTGCCTTCGCCCGCGTCTGATGAGGCCATGGTGAGGTTGGCCTCACCTAGATCTGGGCTACGTCGCCTTGCCCGCAGCCCCTATGCCTCACCCAGATCCGGACGAGGGCCGCAAGCCCTCTCTCGCCATTGTGGGTAAAAAAAAGAAAAGAAAAAGAAAAGAATTCGAAAAAAATAAAATATTATTAAAAATTGTATACGTTAGCGACGGCTGGCGTTAGCTAGATGGACTGAATTGGCACAAATGCAAAAGTTTAAGATTGAATTGGCACAATTGCAATATCTTTAGGACTTTTTTTGGTAATTTTCCCCAATAAATGTCATATGGTGTAGGCCAAATTTTCTCAATATCTACTCTTGATTTAGATAAAGACAAAGGCGCTTCATTTTTTTTAATCGCTTCTCACCTTCCTAAATGACCATAATTTCCTAAGGTACCTCAAATCCAAACAGAACAGAAATGTATATGGGCTCTAGCTGCTAATGAGCTAATCCCGTCTACCTATTCTTAAATGGCTAGTTGGAATAAAACTGAGGCTTCGTAAGGTATCTCTAACTTGGAAGAAATGCAAGCTTTCAGTATGGTCAAAAACAACTATCATTATGTTGCAACTAAGAATATTATAAACGATAGTAAATTGAAATTATATGTTGTATTCGGACAATCGTATTTATTGCTCCGAGATCACGACATATGATGCCAAGGCGGGCCCCAACCAACGCCAGGCTGCTTTCCTCATCCAATTCCTGGCGCAACAATTTGGGGCACCAGAACCTCAAGCAAGAGGCATTCAATCAGGCTTTCACGGGGCTCTTTTGGTTCCATCCTGTACTCCATGTCACCTTGAATCTTCAGAAAACCACCCCAAATGTCATGCTACGCTACTAGCTGTCATATTTCTAGGTAAATCCTTCACTTTCAGATACGAGGGTAAAGAATCGAGAGAAAAGGATGTAGCGCACGGTCGTGGAGTCTGAACAATTCATAATACGAATAGCGCTATATCTTTTTACAACATCACTAATGCCGTGATTTTCATTACCGTCGCAGGTTAGAATCCTGCAACTAATGCATCAGCCAAATGCAAGGTCAACGGATCGAACCCATTTTCAAGCAGCTTCTTCAAGACCAAAAAAATTGCCAAAAGTACAAGGATGCCAAAGTGGAACACCTATCGCTGTGAGAATATAAAAAAACTATATGGCACTCTTAGCATATCAACTTTGGAGGTGGCTTCTGGATTATGACCAAAAAATGGCAAACCAAGAGTGCAGGATCGCACCAGTATAGTTAAACATGTCATTGTTCATATGCAATATGCATATATTAAGAGTCCAGGGTCGCACCAGTACAGTTAAACATGTCATTGTTCATATGCAATATGCATAGATTAAGCTAACACACACCATCTGTGACATCCCTAAATTAATTCACTCAAGATATCGTCCGCTTTGGCCTGTTCCATACCGAGTCTCACGGTTTTGTCCTTTGGCGTATAGGCAGGCACTTCCCAAGATGTCACTCATCCTGGTAGTGCTCTAGTAAGGGCTCACTTAACTTTGGAGTTTCAAAACTTGCCTTTATGTCAAAGGTGCCTCCGTAAGTTAATTTCAGTTTTTCACTTATAAATCTCAGAATCGCTCTCCCCATGTTCGGTACACAGTTCAGTTCATTCTTGCCCCCTTAACCATCCTAGAAGCCTGCCATGGGCCGCTCCATGTCGAGGCTCTCTAGCCCAGCAACCACTCATCACCCTCGTCAGACCGGGTCGTTATAGGCCCACCAACTTTCTCCTGGTTCGTTCCCAAACTGCACACCTACTAGAGGGGGTTTCACTCTGATACCATACAGTGACATCTCTAGATTAAGGTATCTCTAGCTTGGAAGAACGATAAGCTTTAAATATGGTCAAATATAATCTATGATTCTATCGCAACTTAGAATATTCGAGATGATAGTGAATTAAAATTACGTGTTATATATGGACACTCGAATTTATTATTCCTAAATCACAAGATTTGACACTAAGACCACAACCAACTATATTTGACATTTCCTAATGATTCATGGAATTAACCATCACAGAACTTTGTTCTTTTTTTTGTGCACAGTAAAATAGAATCTCGCATTTAACGTGTCCTTAGTTAATTGACTTTTTTATGTCAGGATGTACCCTCACAATTGTTGTTAAATCAAGACACATATAGGGGATCGATATCTTGAAATTTCTCGGGATCGAATCGAATCATAAGATTTGGTCAAGTATCTGAAATTGGTATTTCAAGACAATTATGAGTTTTGTCAATAATACAATGAAATAAGAACGTTAAGTGAGATTTATTATAAAATATGAACTTAAAGAAAAGAGAATTTTCCTTACCAAAAAAAAAAGAGAATTTTAAATAAATAAGAGAGGCCCAGCCCAGTATACTTCCGCAGCCCAAATAAGCTCCAAGAGTCTTGTTGTTCCTCTTACCTTTGCATTCCTGACACAGAAAGCAGAGCCTTGACGAACCTTGAGAAAGAAGAGAGGGAAATCGAAAAACATTGATTAATGTCGGAATACGACTTTTGCATGTGATTGGTAAGTGTTTCCCTGTTGTTTTTCCCTCTTGCAAATTAGTTTTTGTTTGTGGAGTTAAAATCGTAGTCCTAGCTATGTTGGCTTCGCCGGTGATGACGTAGGGATCCATCCAACTGGTTTGAGTACAAGGCGAGCTCGTTCAGTAAATTCAACTGACCTATTTCATCAGGGATAGAGCCATTCAACTCGTTAGAGATCAGGT